TAAAAATATTAACAATAATTCCATAACATCATCCAACCAGTGTTCAACTTTCCCCAGTTGTCCCATTAGTAACTTTCATTTTCTTCCAATCAGAATCCACGTAAGTTCCCGTTATGGTAATTGATTGATAAAGGTCTTAGAGCTATAGGTCTACAGCAGGGGTTGGCAAACTTTCTCTGTGAAGGGGAAGACAGTAAATATTTTATGTTTCATGGGCCACAAGGCCTCTGTTGCAACGACAACAAATGGCTATAGCTGCGTTACAATAAAGCTTTATTTTAAAAAAAGGCAGCAGGCCAGATCTGGCCCCAGGGATGAGGTCACCAACCTGTGGGGTAGAGGCTTGGTCAGATTCAGGTTTGGTTTGCTGGTAAAAACACTTCACAGGTTGCATGGTGGGCTTCCATCCAGGGGCATGAGATGACCGGCAGTCACTCTTATTTTGTGTGTGATGTTGTTGGCACTGTGAGCTAAACACCCGGATCTGCTAGCTTATCAGGGACAGCAAAAATGGCCACATTCTAACTCCATCCTCCCCTCTTCATTTATGAGCTGCAATATTTCTATGAAGAGAAAGTTCCCTTCCTCAATTGTTTGGTAACAGTGAGGTCGAGTTTGTACAGGAAAGTCAAAATAATAGATGTTTGAGTCTCTTCCTTTCTCTGCCAGTTTTTAACAAGGAGCTGGGTGCTTCGACGTTCTTCAGAGATAACCAATGCACTTTTTTAAAGAACACTGAGAGCAAATGGGTTTCAGCACAATCTAGATGTTTTCGAGCTGCTTGTCTGTTTAAATTGTAGCAGCTCTGGGCAGCTCATCCTTGCTTTCTGGCATGATGCGGGGTCCCAGGGCCTTCTCGTTGACCTTCTGCCCTGGTCCCGGAGCTTGCCTTCTGCAGGAGCCAAGTGTAGAGGGGAATGAAGTTTAGAAACTCTGACTTGGTCTCTAGAGGTGCTCCTGGACTCTAGGCCTTTTCGGTCAGCACGGCCGAGGAAGAGATGTTTCAGTGTGAAAGACTTCAGAAAAGCCCACTGAAACGTCCAAGTCCGTTCAGTCCCACAAGGCTGCTCAACTCTTCGGGCTGAACCCTTGTGCCTCATTCCTCCCAGGCTCCAATTCCAGGTTCCCCTGGGGAGCTTTTAAAATTCGTGGTTCTGGAGTGGTCCCAAACTAACTGCCCGGGAACCTCTAGGGGAGACGTGCAGGCAAGAGCCCCCTGCCCTCACCCCGTGCACACGTGATTGTAATGAAGAGCTGGCTTGGAGTGCTGCCCAGGGCGTGCGTGAGAATAAGGAGCACAGCCTACACACAGTTTGTGGGCGGGGGCAGGAGGGGAATGAATGGAGGAGGAGGGGCTGTGGTGAGGAGCATGGGCAGACCTTTCAGTAAGTGTGGCTTTAAGGGGAGGTCCCTGTGGGGCAGAGTAGGGTCAAGACAGGTTACAAGAGAGAGAGAGAGGAGAGGAGCCAGGAGAGAACTGATGAGCAGCTACTGGGCTGCAGGGACCTGTGTCCTTTGCCTGCCAGGTCTGGGGGCCACTGGATAGACAGAGAGGAAAGGTGTCCCTTGATGTAGTCTGGGTAAGGACTAAAAAAAAAAAAATGCTTTTCCTCCTACCTTCTAAGTTTTTCTGACTTGGTCAGTAATCACATTAACAGGAGAAAAATCAACTTTTCATACATGCACAAGGGAAAGTCACACGGGCATGAAAGTTCCGAAGACCGTGGGGTGACACTGGGCACATATGACATTTCGGACAAAGGAGAGAAGGTGGGGGAAACGGGGTCTCAGATTTCAGTAGTGAAATGGGGGGCTGTAGGTCATTAAGTAACAGCAGAACACCAGGGGTAGGCAACCTCTTTGCTGGGCAAGCCAGAAACCGTGGGGCCCGGACAGTGCGGGTGACCACGGCCTCTCCTCGGGGTCTTCCTGTCTAAAGCTGAGGTTCCCTTCCCGAAACAGGATTTTGTATCTGAATCCCTTGGGCAGGAAAGAGGGGAGGGTCAATGGTTCTTTCTGCGTCTTTTAAAAAATAATCAGCTTAAAACTCAATATCCCAAAAGGCTCAGCTTTTTTTTCCTTCTGGGGTGAGGAGCGGAGGGAGGGAGGGTGATGGCAACGCTTTGGTCTCCCCACCTGCACACTGAAGGCTCAGCTCTCGTTTTGCCTTTTTCTCTCCATTGTTAAAACCACGCCAGAGACAGGAATGGTCATATGTTGACAATGACTTACTGCACAAGACACAGACGTAGACACCAGAGAGAGATAATACAAAACAGGGACTTTCCAGGGGGTCCTTTAGCTCAAAACTGTATTTATGGTCACACACATTGGGTAGAATTTTCCAGATGTTGCCTAACAGACAGCTTACAGGAGACAGGAGAACCCGGCAGCCTTCTCTTAAAGCCAGAGAGAGATTTGCCGCGTATGTAAAATAATGTCATTTTCCTCGCTGTTTCTTAAAGGATAGTTTTAATTAAAATGTTACTATGTTGCTGTGTAATTATTATTATTATTATTGGTAAATGAATTGTTACGTATTATGAAAATTTCTCAGTTTTATTTCTTAATTTGGTAACTATCCGGGTGCTCATTTTTTAAGAGAATGCAGGGACCCTGAGAACCAAAAGTTTGGGCAGGGCCGGCCGGTGTCTCAGGAAGTCAGAGCCAGCAGGCACAGCGGTCAGATCAACAGTGACAGCATCTCCTTGGCCAGGCACCATGCATTTCTGGACAAAATCCCTGGTTAGTCCCATGGGCTGGAGGTGGGACGCTTTCTCACCTTCAAGGGATGTGTTTAGTGACCGGGCTCCCTCTCTGCAAGGGGGGAGGGTCCATCTCACACCACGGCTTTGTTTCCCACTGGGACCAAAGAAGTGTCCTGGAAACTGGCTTGGGGAGGGGGTAGGGGGAGGGGGAGGAGACAGAGGAAGGAGGAGCCGGAGCAGGTGTCTAGGGTGCAGTGACTGGCAGTGGGCCAGTGTGAAGAGGATGTGGGGGTGCTGTCTGGGAGTGAGGGGTTCACCCTCTCCTCCCTCCTTCTGCATGGCCGCCCAGTACATGGGAAGTGGCTTTGTTCTTGAAGAAGTGCATCGAGAAGGATAGGAAGAAAAAACGATGCTACCCCACCAAGAGCACTGACACGCATGATTTTCATTAAAACACCTAGAAAGAAAATCAGTGCTTCCCAAATCTGGCCAGCACCATCGTTCTGAGTAGGGATCAAGAATCTTCAGACGCTGGTAACAACAGAGTCCACCGAGGGGCCAGTCATCGGGCACTGTCAGTTGGACGTGTGCTATTTTCTGAAGAGACAGCTCTGTCATCTAATGCGACCACCTCAGTTCCTCTGTGGCCAGCTCCTTAATGCACCAGTTTACCTGCGAACCTGAGCTAGCCCTCTTCAAATGAAAGCTTATGCACACACTAGATGGAGCCAGGAGTTTCATGAAGGACAAACCTTAATTAGACTTGGTTTTTTAAAATTTCCCTTGTGGCTCTTAATTATTAGAGAGAGCAAACGTCTCTGATGTTGAACTTAACCATCACATGTCCCTACATCAGTGTCCTGAATGCATTCCTTGCACTTTTCATAACGTCACCTCCCTCGGGGAGCCGTCCGGCTGGCTTCTCAGACCCTTCGAGACTGGACACGGAGGAGTATAAGCAGTTTTTTTTTAAGTACACCCCCTCTGCAACCCTGATTTTGAAATGTGAATGTATGAACGCAACGGCTCTGAAATAACTATGCAGATTTATGGGGAATATCAATTTGGGTTCTATCGGGGGGGGCCCAACTAGGCCTTTCTTTGTGTGGCTGGGGATTTGTTAAAGTTGCTGTGTAGTTTGGGGAAAACGTGATTTACAGTTAAAGTCATCTGAAAATCAATGCAGCCAAGCTCTCTGACACAAGGGCCCCTAGCAGAGCCAGACCTGATTCCAGAATTAAGACAGGAATAGAAATCAAATCTTGAGCAGAAGTCACTGGAAATCACAGTGAGAAGGGAATTGCCCGGTGAAGATGGACTTGTTTGTTTTTTAAAACACCCGACATAATTCAGCTGGAGGAGATGGAGAGGTTTTTCTACTCCTGTTTCAGTAGAAATCGATGGGCCTAGCTTGTGTAATTGTCCTCCCTGCCTTTAGTGCCTAAAATAAAATAACCCTCATTGCTTGAATTACCGAACGCATCACTGCGGTCCTGGAGTCTGTGGCTGAGCAAGTATTAATTGGATACCCGCCGCCCGGAGCCGCTGGGGGAGTAGGGAAGGTGCAGGGGGACTCCGCGGCCCTGAAATTGGAGGCTGACAGCAACTTGCTAGGTGGGCTGAGGGCGTCCCGGGAGCGGTGAGCCGGCGGCTCCCGGGAGCATCGTATCCGCATCTGTGGACTCCACCCCCCCCCTCCCCCAGCGGGAAGCGGTGGGCGCAGGAGAACCGAGGCTCCAGTAGCCGCAGGAGCCGACAAGCCCTCACCCCTATTTCCCCTCGTCCCCGGAATCTCCTCCACCCAGAAGTCTCCAAAGCTCTCGCGTCCTCGCCTGTCTTCCCCAGACCTTGACCCTCCCCCAGCCTCCACTCAGACCACTTCACAATCACTCAGAGGCCGAAGTGGGGACGAGGAAGGGGGAAGGGGCAGGAATGGAGGCCGGGGGTGGGGATCGGCGCGCGGGCAATGCCCCAGGAAGCGGCCAGACTCCGGTGGGCTGAAGGGAGGCAGGAATGTGCTTGGCGAGGGGAGGCGCAGACTCGCTGGCTCTCCAAGCTCATGGCTCTTTTGGCGATTCCCTCCTGACTCTCCTCTCTGACCCCCAAGCCACGCCTGGCAGCCCCCGCGCCTGCGGGGCCGGAGGATGCTGGCGGGGCACCTTGGCGCGCGGGGCCGGGGTTCGGGGCAGGCTCACGCTTCCCCTTTAAGGGTTCCCGAAACTTTCCCCCCTGGAATCAGATGAGCCTCGTCACATCCGTTGGCCGTGGCCGCCTGGGCGCGTTCCGAGGAAGTTCGGGACACGAGTTTCCCTGGGAAGGGGCGCGGCCCGAGACCTGGAGGGGTGGGCAGGGCTGGCCCGCGCCGACCCCCCAGGCCGCGAGCCGGGAGCCGAGCTTTGACCTTGGCTGCAGGGCGGGGGCGGGGCCCGGCCCCTGCGGGGCAGCCACCGCCCGCCAGAGGGGGCAGCGGCGACCAACTTGCTCAACTTGGCGGCGCGGGCTGAGGCGGCTCCGGCGCCTCCTCCTCTTCCCGGAGCCTCCTCCCTCGGCCCTCCTCTCCTCCGCCGTCGCCGCCGCCTCCGCCGCCGCCGGCCCGGTGCGCGCCCAGCCCATTCCCGCAACCCTGCGCTGAGTCGCCGAGTCGCCGAGTCGCCGAGTCGCCGGACGGGACAGGACGGACCGAGCCCGGCGCGATCCCCGGGCCCCGCCGCCGGCATGGGCGCGCTGGCCCGGGCGCTGCTGCTGCCGCTGGTGGCCCAGTGGCTCCTGCACGCCGCCCCGGCGCTGGCCCCGGCACCCTTCACGCTGCCCCTCCAAGTGGCCACGGCCACTAGTCCCGGGGCTGCGCCCACTCCCGGGCCCGGGCCCCCCGCTCAACCCCGCGCCGACGGCCTGGCATTGGCCCTGGAGCCTGCCGGGGGTGCGGCCAACTTCTTGGCCATGGTTGACAACCTGCAGGGGGACTCTGGCCGCGGGTACTACCTGGAGCTGCTGATCGGGACCCCCCCGCAGAAGGTAAGACGGTGGGCGCTCGCCCGCTCACCCACACGGACCGGCGCCCGGCAGCTCCTGCGGTTCCTCGGCTGCAGCCGCGAGCTTTTGGGGGGCTCGTGGGAGCGCCCAGCCGAGCCTCCGCGCCGCTTAGCCCCAAAGCAGACGGGGGCGGGGGGTGGAGGGGCGCAGGGGGTGCAGCTGGCGGGAGCGGGGCGGGCGCACTCCGGCGGCTGGGCAGCGGCGGCCCTGTGGGGGGCGCAGCCCGGGGTGTGCGCACATGTTTCAGAACTTGTTCGCTCCCCACTCCCCGTGGCCGGGCAGCGAGATGAGACCCGTAACTTCCATCTCAGGGGACTTCCTTCTGGCGGGCTACATATCCTTCCAGTGTGGAGACCGTGCCGTGGGCCTTGGGCACGAAGCTGTTATTTCGGGGAAATCACTACTATTACTATTTACACACACCCCTCCCTCCCCTTCCTCCCCGCCTCCCTGGCTCGCGGTGTGATTGCTGAGGAGGCTGGCGGCCGGCCTCCAGCGGCGCAGACCCCTCTGAAAGGGGGCTGCCGGGTCCGAGGGGCGGGCTGCTGCGGAGCTGGCCGCCTTCCTTCCGTGCGCCCTTCCTCCCCCGGAGGCGGCTGGTCGCGCTGCTGCCTCTTGGCTCCTTCGGCTGCCCAGCCGCTTTGCACCGAAGGAAGTGCCTGCACACGTGTGTGAAAAGTGTTAAATGCAGCAATGCTGCTGGGGAAACAGACCGAACGAGCTAGGCTTCTGGGGACCAAGTGGCCTCCCCATGACAAATGAAATCCAACAGCTTTCGTTTTTCTCATTCTCAGGGTGATTTTCATTTATTAACACTTTTTGTAGCAAGAAATAAATGGTCCCCGGGCTCGTTGATTTGAAGACAAACAAAACCCCAGGGATATCGTTTTCAGCCGTTCTCCAACTTCCTAATCGAAGTGTGATTTGAACTCAAGTTGTCCTTGTCAGGAGGATGCACTGTCTGAAGATACTTTATTTTTACTTCTAACATTGCCCTTTGCGTTTTAATTCAGCTACGATTCCCCCATAAATAGAACAGACTCATGACTTTGGTGTAATTTTAATTAAATTATTCAAGACTTAAGAGGGAAGGCATGCCATGCTAAATTCTTTTAAAAAAAGAAACTCTACTGAGTAACTTCTACACTTGCTTAATTAGTTTTTTTTTAACCTTCAAACATGTATTCTGCTGAAAACTTTGATTCCAGTCGCCCTTCATCTGAGTGTTGTCTTTAGGACCTCCTGGGGGGCTGGGGGCTGGGGGGAGGGTCGGCTGGGGAAGGCGGGCGGAGGGAGTCAGCTGAGAAGGTTTAACTTAACCACAAGACGCTGGTGCTGGTAAGAGCCACCGCGTGAAAACATGTGCTGGTAGTGAGAACCTTGTACATGTTCTTTTTAATAGCACTGGTTTTTTTTTTTTAAGATTTTATTTATTTATTTTTAGAGAGAGAGGAAGGGAGGGAAAGAGACATCGTGGTGTGAGAGACACATCAACACCACCAAGGACTGGTTGTCTCTCCCACAGTCCAGACCAGCCCCGGGCCCACAACCCAGGCATGTGCCCTGGCCTAGAATGGAACCGGAGACCTTTCAGTTTGTGGGGACAGAGCCCAACGCACTGAACCACGCCCGTCAGGGTGAACCCTGTACGGTTCCTCCATCACAAGATATGGAAGACGGACCTCTTCTGTGGCCTGAGGATAATCTCGAGGGACAGGCCCTACGTGACTCCCCATTTGGGAATGGTGTGCCTTGGTGAACAACTCTTGTTGATTTTTGAGGGGGAGGGAATCTCCCTACCAGAGTCAAGCAGACTTGGGGGCCGCAGCAAATGGGTCCCGGCACCTGTCTCCCTGCTCCAGAGAAGAGGGGAAGGGAAAAGAAAAAAAAAACCCTCTCAAAAACAAGCAAAAAAACTTCATAAATAATAGCTTGTCTTTATTATTTAGTCCAATGACCTTTACTTTCAAGTGAGGAGGTTTACATTACAGGAATGTATTCAGTACTTAATGCTGATATCTTTTCCTTGGCCAAGGAAGTAGTTCACATTCAAGGTTATTTCTCAGTTAAACATTAGCAAGTTTCCAGGGAAGGCTGTTTTTAACAATGCAGATTTAATTTTTACATTTTGACAGGAAATGAAATATTCTGTGCCTCCTTCTTGGCCTGATTTAGTAATACGCTGCTTTAGAGCGAAATCTATGTGTATGATTTCTCCAAACGCCTGCTGTAAACTCTTAGGTAAGAGTGACAAGTGCATTAGGATTCATTTTCTCCCCGAGTCCCAGAAAACGCCTGACTCCCGGCAGGGTGTCTGGGCTGCAGGTCAGATGGGCAGCCGGCCATGGGGCCACTCTGAACCTGGAGTGAGTTTTCCTGCTCTCTCGTGGCCAGGGGTCATGCGTTTATTCTCTGCAGATTCCCCGAAGCCTAGAATAAAACTTGCTTAGGTGGAGAGAAAAATGGAATTGTAAATCCAAGCGGTGAAGAACCAAGAGTCTTTCGGGAATTAAGTAACGGTCATAGATGGGGTGAAGGGCTCTCCTCCTCCCGGCGAGACCTGAGCTGCCTGGCGCGTGTGTGCTGCCCCTGAGGACCCTTACAACCACCTCCTGGTTCTTAGACCATTTAGAGGATTGGGGGACTGGAGCTGGGAGAGGCTGAATGACTTCCCCAGGGCAACAGGACAAGAAAGCAACAGGAAATTGAAACCCAGGAGCTGGGTTCCAGACCCCAATCCTGAACCACCTGCTCCCTTGCCTTCCTGTTTCCTGGCTGCTTTTCTGTGCCTTTCGGCCTCACACTGCCCTTTCCAGCCAGAGATCCCTGAACCTGACATCCCACAGTGTTAGGTACTTAACATCTGACTGTTATGAGAGTCCAATACTGGACTCTTCCCAACCCCTGCTGTTCCCCCTTCCTTTGGGGCATAAAGAATAGTTGGATGCAGGCAACGATTCAGCAGGAACCAGAGCTCCGAAGACCACCCGCCCCCGGAAAACCAACTGTTGGACGTGTGCTGGTTCCCTGAATGCTTTAATCAAGAACTGAGGGTCCCTTGTTCTGCCTGACACTCTTCAAGGCATTGCAGGCATGTGCCCAGAAGCCCGGGTGAGAGCAGGACCCTGTTGGCATGGCGATGAGTGCTGGGTGTTTGTTTGATACCATGATGTGACTTCTGACGGGAAAGAACCAGCATCTGCTTGAACTGCGCAATTTGGTCTTACTAATAATAATAATGGTGCTGTAAAGTGATTATAATGACAGCAATTTCCATGATAAAAAAAAGGACTTTCATGCTAACACAATGAATCCAACCGAAGATGCTAAAGGTCTCCAGTTACATACCTTGTAACAGCTGCAGAAAGGCTGTTGGGGCTTCTGTTGAAAGGTTTTCTGTCACCTGCACTAGTGTAGATAAAACAGACAGCAAAAACAATTTTCACAGCTAAACATTTGAATGTAAAAAAAAACACAAGAGATTGTTTTGGGGACTCGCACTTTAATCATGGTGCATTGGCCTGGGTATCACTTAGTACACAATGTGGGGGAAGAATTGGGACTGAAAATGAGAGCTCCAGTTTAGGAGTTCTTTGCAGAGTAAGCCATCCAGGGTTTTTACGTGAATCTCACTGCCAGCAAGGCTAATAAAAGGAAGACGTTGGCAGCAAGGAGAGATTTGATAGAACAAACTGAGAAGGTAAACAATGAAGAGAAAAGATGACTGGGGTTAAAAGAACTAGAAACTCAAAACCAGGTTCTCTCCAACTTTTTTGAGCGAAAGGTGGCAGCTAGTGAGCCGGAGAGAAGGAATTCAACATCAAAGGCACTACTAGGAAGGACTCTGCAAAAGACCAACCCAAGACATGCGCTCAAATCAACTTGGAGGGACAGTCTGAGACACTAGTAACAACCGTAACATTAGTGGCTAACCTTTATCTCAGGCGTATCACACGCTACGCACCATGTGAAGAGTTCGCACAGATCACCTCGTTTAATCCCGGCAATAGCCTTGAAGTATGTACGACTATCTGACTTCACTTTCAGCCCGGGAAACTATGACTCAGAAAGGCCAAGTAATTTGTCCAAGGCCACACCGGTGAGTGGCAGCGCTGGGAGAGCCATCCGGTCTGCCCAGTTCCGCAGTCCGAGGCCGCACCACGGCTCCTGCCCCGTCCGTGGACTCTTTCATGTCACCGCCTTGGTTAGCTGTGAATGATGTGGGTGTGGGGGGAGGCAGTCTGGCCGGGTCGCAGGGGCCTGGATGCTGGTCACATTGCACACGTGACCGAGGGCAGGTGCTCAACCTCCCTGCGTTCTGCTCTCCTCATCTGCTAGTGACCTCGGAGTTTTTCTTCTCCTGCAGCCGCTGTAGTACATGACCGCAAACGAGGTGACTTAACACAACAGAAATGTATTCTGTCACAGTTCTGGAGGCCAGATGTTCAAAACCGGGGTGTGCACCGGGCCTGCTCCCTCGGAGGGAGGGCTCCAGGGGGAGGCCCGTCCCGCCTCTCCCAGCTCCGGGGGAGCCCGTGGTGCCCGGCTTCCCTTGGCTCTTAGCAGTATCACTCCCATCACTCCCTCCCTCTTCACGTGACTGTCTCCACTGTGTGTCCCAGTCTCTGCACAGGCACCCACCCTGGTCCGGTCTGACCTCCTCTCACCTGGATGACATCTATAAAGATGGGTGCCGGGTTTAGGATTTGGACTTGTCTCTCTTTTTTTATTTTTGGAGCAGAGGACATAATTGAATGCACAAATGTGTTCTAAGTGTATTGTTCTGTGGATGTTTTTCTTTCACTTTATACCGTCTTTTAATTGCCAATAACTTTATTTGGAATTCATGTAATTTTCACTGAAGGCAGTAGAAATGGTGGTTTTGGCACTGTCTTCACAAGGCACCTGTGACAAGACCTTGCCCTAGGGGACAGGTGAGTGGCAGGCTGAGGGGATTTCGGGTTCTTTTTCTGGATTTCTGT